TGTTATAGCAAAACATACGTTTGCTTCATCGACAATTCCACATAAAGCATATGATATGGCAAAAAGGCCTGACCTTACTTGAAAATTCATATTTGCCTTGTGGCCCAAGAGGTGCTCGTGGCAGTCTAGCCAAGTGGTTAGCGTGTCAAGCTACCGTCCTGCACTGTCGCGGTTCGACTCCCGCTGAGGATGTTGATAAGACCAATGCGAGGTCGAAACTTTAATCACTACGCCAGACTGCCACGAGTGCCATTGGGTCAAAGGCTGGGGTAGGAATGTCAATGAAGCAAAGTTATATTTGCTATAGCAATCGACTTCTTTACTTATTTTTTCGTTTATAAGCGGAATTTCGAGACTACCAGCGAGTATATATGAAATGTATTTATCCAATTCCCTTTAGGGTGACAAGGGGACTGGTAGTTGAATTACCTTTCAATGATATGAGTAGGCGTGTATGGTATACAACTAGTCTCAAAAGCCTAATTATAATCTAAAAATAAGTATCTTTGCTTATCGATAGTCCCCTCACAGAATATGATATGGAAAAATGCCTGGCATTCCTTCAGATTTACATCTGCCCTGTGACCCAAGGGCTATCGTGGCAATGTGGTGTTGTCGTTAATGCAGAAATATTGTTCTCTGCAGTGTCATGGTTCGAGTCCGCTGGGGGTGTTGATAAGACCTATGCGGGGTGAAAATTGCAGCACACTTTAGTCTGGAGGAGAATAACTTTTTGTAAAGCCAGAGTCTATACAATTAAATGGAAATATAATGTCTAGTGATGATATTGTTTAAAAAATTCAACTATCAGTCCCGTTGTAACCCTAAATGAAACAGAGTTAATATATCTCATGTATATGGTCTACCGGTAGTCTCGAAAGCCTAATTCTAAACGATCCGGTGACAACCTGCTAAGCATGCATCAAACCGACTGGTGGCCAAGAGAAAACTTTTCCCAATTTTCCTCACATACTTTCCGTTAAATAAATGTGAGCTCCTTAATTCTAAACCAGGAGATTGTCTGAAATATAACTTTTACCTGCTTAGTCTGGACTTTATGCTTACTTTTATCTAGTCATCGTTGCAGCAGTACCGATGGCTTTAGTTGAATAGTCTAACATTTCGAATAAAAGGGTACTTTCTTTCTTTATTCCTCTTCCATAGGCGAAAGTAGAGCTCAGTGCGCTTCCACCGAAAGCGTCAACGAGATTCATCCGTCCTCATCTGGTGAGATCGACCAACCAATCTCTTCTTCATGCACTTTCATCCGAAATGAAGGTCCCCTTAACAATGTTATCTCAGGAGATTCATGGAAACCAACTTTCTCTTCGAATCATTTTGCCTCGAGGATATCGAAAACGAGAATCTTCCAGCCTGGCCAAACGACAGTGGGCCTACAAGCCCAACAATGTCCATCGGTATTGCCGGTACGGTGACCACCCTAAACAACGTAGACGAACATTTTTCTGAGAATACCACCATCTTCCAGATAACCTCTGGGGTAGAAGGAGGCATGACACCGGCAGTGAACCTCGAGGCCGTACCGACGGGCGTCAAACGAGATAGCGAGATGGGCCGAGCCCGTCTGGACTGCCAGGCTGCTGCGGGAGGCGACGTCTGTTCGCTGGGCGTCTGGGCGAATGTCGAATGCGGGGGCGATCTTGATGGACAAGAAGCAGCCTGTGGTGCAAAGTGGCATGACAGCAGGAGGGGAAGATGATTTCGGCAAAAAAATGAGACCCAAGCATCTGGCCACTCTATTTAGACTCTACAGTTTGGTCGCATGGCCAGTTGGTTGAATATGACAGACTTGGATAGCAGATCTTAACATTTGACAACAGAAAGTCCTAATGTGTGTGTGTGTCTGTCTGTCTGTCTATCAATGAGGGAGTGGGCTTCCATGTTGGCGACAGGACGAAACTGGATCCAGCTGCTGCGATCCGCATGCATTCGGGCCAGCCACCCCCCCTCGCCTCCGCTCTACCGCCCTCCGACGATCAGGTCTGTCAGGCGGCCTCAGATAAACATTAATGCCGAAGACGCTGCTGACCAAGTGGTCGTCCTCCGAGCAAAAGCCTGAGCCGTGGGCACCACAGGCTGGGCCGGCGTGCCGGCTTCGAAACATGC